GTGATTGTTGACAAAATGAATCAAACCCATATTTATTTCTACGTTATCAAATTCGCGATTTTAATTGGTCAATCAACCAATTGCATGGGTTAAAATTTTGTATTCCCTCCTGTTAATTTTTGTGTTCCCAGTACGTTCTCTCCTGTTATATACAAGTTAAGGGTAGAGTGTAGGTAACACGAAATTTACTATGATACAGTAGATAATTTTTTGACTGCAAATCATTAAAAATTATTATTATATACAGTAATATATAGAAAGTAATTTTTATTTTATTTGTAAAGAATGACAATAATTAATATTAAATATTTAATACAACATTGTCCTTTTCTTCTATGACATCCTTTAGCAAACAAAAAAAAAAAAAAAATAAAGCTACAGTTCATTCTCTCTATAATGAACACTAAGTAAAATCTCTATAATGAACTTCCCTTTTAATTAATTTCTCTCTCTATAACAAACATCTTAATAAACACTCCTTACAGTGAACTGCATATTTTCTCATGTTCCTTATTTATAAATAAATTATGATGTTAGTTAATTATATTACAAAAATAATGTATTAATTATATTAATTATATTAATTATTTCACAAAATACCAAGTAAAATTACAGGAATATACATGTCACTAAAATTATTGAATTGCGTCAGATGCAATTAAAAATCTGTAAAATTGCATCTTGCATCACTCATCATAATTTTTATGACTGATGCAAGACGCAATCCGTGATCATTTTTTTTTATTTTTTGGTAATTCGGGAAAATGTTACATAATTTTGTGACTTTTATTAATATTAATATGTTTCCAAAAGTTACTTTAAGCATCTCAGGAAACATAAGATACATTCATATAATATGTATTTTATTAATTATTTATTTAATGTAATTTTATATAAATATACGAATGTAATTATTTATTGTTAGAAGTAATTTGACTAGGATTGTATTTGCGAAATTGAACGTAAAATTCGTAAAAACTGTTATAATTTGATAACAGCGAAAATTAAATTATTACAACGCTATTATAAGACAGTGCATATTCCAGCACAGTGGACATTTGATTTCATTGGCTAAATTATGTGACGATCTCCCTTCCAGATATCACGCAAAAAATTAAATTTTATT